CAGAGGGAACCCACCGGCCCTTTCCCTTTAGGAACGAACTCACAGCCAGACACCCGGGAGTCCCCTCGTATAAACGCCACGCCTCTATGGGGAAAGGCAAGCACGTGCCACCCTGTCACCTTCCATGAGGAGACAGGCTTCCAACCAGGAGATGACAAGGACTGACAGGCCCCTGGGATGCATGTCCCCAACCCAGACCAGGAGAGACGGGTCACTCACCGGCCAAAGCTGCCTGTGACTGGGTAGGAGGAGACCAGGGAGCCCAGCACGTTGGTGAGACCTGCGGGGGGGGGGGCTGTCTGGGGGGGAGGATCTGTCTGGGAGGAGAAGGTGGGGCAGGAAGAGGGACGGGCGGCCGGAAGGTGACACTGGGACACAGCAGGGCAGGCTGGGGTCGGCCTGCAGGAGCACAGCCAGCCTCTTTCCAGGGAGGAACAACAGGCTGTGACCTCGGCCCAGTTACCAAGGTCCATTCAGACTCGGGACCAGCAGATGGCATAACGGTTACATTGCTGGACTCCCACTTAGCCAACTGCAGTTCGAGTCCCAGACCTTGTGCTTTCAAACTCATACCAGGTGCGTGTGCATGTGTCCAAAATCCCGAGAAAAGAATGAAGGAGAAGGGATTGTGGCATGGCCACCCTATCCCCACCCCGTAGGGGTGATTTCTCACTTTCTGTCTCTCTGTCCTTCCGGCGAGTGCAAAAATCTCTCCCTAAAAAGAAAGGCTCTGAGGGCCGGCAGGTGGTACAGTGGTTAAGGCGCTGGACTCCCACGTGGCTGACCACAGTTTGAGCCCCGGACCTGGCGGCTTGCTGTCTCACTTTCCTTCTGTCTCTCTCTGGTCAACTTCAAAAATAATAATAATGACAATGAATAAAATTTAAAGAAAAAGGCTCTGATAGGCCCTGCAGGGTGACTTAAATACACCTTCCCTCAAAGCACAGCAGAGAGGGGCACACACACACACCCCCAGGTGTGATGAGGAGACAGACCCACTGGACCCGGGAGGCCCACTGAGTCCCTTCCAAGCCCACCACTCCTTTCTGCAAGATGACTGGCCCAGGAGGAGAGGTCAGGGCCTGTGAGCTGTCTTCCCCAGTGGCACCAGCTGACCACACTGGACAGAGCCCATACCGCAGCCTCCCTGGGCCCCGGGAACTGAGACAGCCAGCCAGTGTGCACCCCAATCCGTCCGCCCACGTCCTGAGGCCTGCCCTCAGGACAGTGGCTGGGGCCTTCTTAGCACCAGGCCCCTGGGCGCCAGCACCAGTTCAGGCCCCAGACAGGGAGGGGCCCGGGCAAGGACATGGGGATGTTGCAGAGCTCAGTAAGGCATGCGGTGACCACAGGTGGCACATGGTCACCCTCAGGCCTAAGGGCTTTGGAGCCTGACTCTGGCCGACCATGATAGCCCCTCCTTGCTCAGCTTTCGGGGGGGCTGCTATCCCCTGACGGTGGCCTCTGGGCATCCCCAGTGCTCACCACACCATCGGGCAGCTCGGCACTGACCCTGCAGACGCAGGAGTAAGGTGCTCTGGAATTGCAGGGTGGGCCAGGGCATTGCTGAGGGTGCACAACCTCTAGGAAAACCAAACTCCACCAACCCCCAGGGTGAGGCCCTGCTCCACCTTGAGCTCAGAGGGATGCCGGCACTGAGCCCGTGACTTTCCTGGGTCATGCACTTTGTTGTCAAGAAGCCAAGTGGCTTCAGTCCAAAACCTGCCCTGAGGCTGTCCAAGGTGTCACTGGAGACAGGCCCTCAGGCGGGACCCCAAGGGCGCACAGCGTGGACCTGTGTCTGGTGGGATGGGGGAGAGGCCAGGCAGGGGGGCCTGGGACCCACGGCACGTAGACTCAGGTAGGCTCACGACACTCCAGCGGAGAGACCAGACTCATGAAGGCCCCAAAAACATGGAAGCGTCACGCCTGGCGCAGACCCCTCTCCCCTCTGCCAGGCAGCCGGGCCCAGCCAAGTGTTTACTAACCAACCCCCCTGCCAGGACAGAGGCCACAGGGCGGGCAGAGAGGCAGGTGGCGGCTCACCTGTGATGCAACCTGTCAGCTCCTGGAGCCCAGGACAGAAGCCCCTCCCCGAGACGACCATGCTGGGCACCCCTTGGCACAGAATAAGGCTACGGACCTCAGGGCCTGGCACGCACTGGGGGTCGGCTCCCTGACCCTCGGCCGGGAGTCGAGCACAAAGGCCCTGTGGGGGATGGCCTCTGCCCCTGTGGCCCCTTGTGGCCATCGCCATGCCCTGGGCAGTCGCAGGGAAGCACCCGGGGCACAGGAGACCCGACGCGGGCTTACCGATGGCGAGCAGCTCCTGGTTGGCGTCGATGCGGTAACTATTCTGAGAGGCTAAAGAGAACACGCAGACAGCGTCAGCGGACACCGGGCACCGCCGGGGAGGGTAGTCCCTGAATACACAGCACTGGGCTTTCCGGGAGTGAGTGTGTACGCGCACGGAACCTGAGTCCACACATGCCACGTGCGTGTGTGCAGCATGAAGACGAGGAGGGGCCGGCCAGCACCAACGGTGGCCACTGGGGAGCAGAGGGGTTCCGGGCAGGCTGCCTCTCCTCGGTCTTTCAACACTTTCTCAAACATGAGGGGTCTTCAAAAACCTCGTGGAAGATGGACATCATGAAAAACGACACACGGGCTTCACGCTTCCTGGTGCCAGAACAGACGTGCCCTTTCTTCCACTGCGCCGCCATCTTTCTGAAGGCTCCTTACACCGCATTTAGAAAAATAGACGAACATCCCGAACTGATAAGCCCCGAGCACAGATGGAGCCGACTGGGGAGGCAGGGCTGAGGCCATCAGAGAGGTGAGCAGGCAGAGCCTGGGGCCGTATAGGGACCCGGGTATGAGCCAAGGTGGGAGACCTGAACACTGTCAACAGCTCTGCCACGGCGACTCAGCCCATCCCAGGCTGCATGTCTGTCACGCATGGCCGTGGTCCAGCCACTGTTATCTCTGGACATGGAAATCTGAAATTTTGTCTTTTTCACATCATAAAATATTACTTGGGAGTTTTCTCAACCACTCTGGGTCGCTGGCCATAGGAGACAGGCAGCAAGCCCGTTAGCCAGCCCCCATCGAAAGGAGTGACAAGCTTTGCAAACTAGAGAAGGCGACTCCCAAGGAGAACGGGGTGCTCCTATGCCGCACAGGAGGCACAGAAGCGGGGCTGTGAGGGCTCAGGAGACACTACGCTCCCACAGCAGAGGTCGCAGAGGCAGAGTGAGCCAGGGAGCCACGAGCCCCGTGCACGGAGCAGCTGAAGATGGTGGGGTTCGGGTTAATTTCTGGAATTCAGAACGGACGAGCCTTCTGAACGGACACTGATGCAGCACCTCCTTCGAGCAGGGCAGGGGGCAAGGCACTCGAATTCTGGGAAGGGAATCCACCCGGCACGGCCTGGGCTGGGCCGTGAACATGGTTTACCGAGTCACGGCGACATGCACTGTGAGCTGGGTTTGAACCTTTGGGATTAACCTACACCCAAACGCAAGGAAAACCGCCCGCGGTTATAGACGGAAAGCAGCGTCACTTGTCCACAAGCTGCCGCGGAGCAGAAGCACAGCTGACCCGAGTGGGGAGGGGAGGAGGCAGGCGGACGGCTTAACAGCCTGGCCCGTGGGGGCCCTCGGAGAGCTTCCCTGCTGCCCTGGGGCAGGCAGGGGATAGGTCAGAGCCACCGGGCCAGCTGGAGAAGGCACACGTGAAATGTTTAGAACTTGTGAGTCGGTTATTAAACATGGCCACCATGACCGACTAAGCTTCCAATGAGAAATAAAAGGTAATACTTGGGCTAGCAGGTGGCCTGGTGGTCGGGTGCTGGACTCCCACATGGCCAACTGAGGTTTGAGTCCTGGCCCCAGCAGCTTAAAAATCATAGCAGAGACCAACAGATGGGATAATGGTTACATTGCTGGACTCCCACATGGCTGACTGTGGTTCGAGTCTCGGACCTGGTGGCTTGAAACTTCCACCGGGCGTGTGTGTGTGTGTACCCAAAATCCCAATAAGAGAATGAAGAAGGGACTGCAGCGTGGCCATCCCCTCTGGGAGTGATTTCTCACTTTCCATCTCTCTGTCTCTCTGGTGAGTGCATATGCCCTATAGCAAAAATCTCTGTAAGATTAAAAAAAAGAAGAAAAAAAGAAAGAAAATCGTAACAAATAAATAAATAAATGTTAAAAAAAAAAAAGTAATACTTAAAACTCATCTCTTCCTCAGGACCAGCAGATGGCGTAATGGCTACATCACTGGACTCCCCTGTAGTTGACCGTGGTTCAAGTCCCGGACCCTGTGGCTTAAACTCACGCCGGGCGCGTGTGTGTGCGTGCCCAAGATCCCGAGAGGAGAATGGTGGAGAAGGGATTGCGGCATGGCCATCCCCCGGGGGGGGGGGTGATTTCTCGTTTTCTGCCTCTCTGTCTCTCTCTTTCTGGCGAGCGCACGTGCCCCATAGCAAAAACCCCTCTAAAAAGCCCCCCAAAACAAAAAACTTATCCCTTCCTAATTTACATGACTACATCTCACCTTTCTCTGTGAGGCCACGTGGCCTCCTGTACCCGTAGTGAGATGTCACGTGGTGGTGGCTAATGTACCTCTCATCTGACTCCCGCCTCTTACTCCGTGTTCAGCACTGTCCCCCACATGCAGATAAACCAGCCCTGGTCTGGGAGCATTTACACCACAGGGATTGGCAAAGGTTACAGAGCAAGGCCTTCTGGCCCCAAGGAGGGCAGGCTGTTACCACGGACACCAAGCCTTCACTGCTGGGACTTCACTCGAAATCCAATTTTACTGTGCACGTGTGTGTCTCGTTCCTATCACATTTAACGCAAGCTTATATTTCTTGGGTAAAAACTCCAATTCTAAAAATCAGAGCAAGTAAACACAGCAAGAAAGTGGGCAAGCCGGGCAGGTCTGGGTGAGCCCCGGGCAGGTCTGGGCGAGCCCCGGGCAGGTCTGGGCGAGCCCCGGGCAGGTGTGGGCAGGCGTCTTACCGAAGGCCTTGGCTATGGCAATGCTCTCCAGGAGGCCCATCAGGGGCACCACGGCCAGCCCGGCCCCGATGTCCTGGAGGAGGAGAGGGGCAGTGAGTGGCCTCCCTACCGTGGGGACAAGAAGCTGGGTGGGACTGAGCAGTGTCTGCCTGTCACCGGCCTCACCGCGGTGTCTAACGGGAGCACGCATGCGTCGGCTGCTGCCTCGCTGTGGGAGAGCGGCAGGCAGAGAACACGGCACGTGAGTCCTCTGCCCGGACACCCTGGCAGAGCACAGCATGACGGCCCTTGAGGTGTGCCCTCACCGTTCCAACCCCGAGATGCCCCTGGACGATGTGCAGACTGCCCTGAGCCCACTCTACAAGCACGCTGGGGACACGGGAACGGGCCTACCTGCACCATCTCAGTGAAGGAGACAGTCCCGTTGGCAGTGGTCACTGAGAAGGGCGGGGTCCGGACTGGAGGGAGCCCCTGTGCTGTCTCCCCAGTTAGAACGAAGGGCTGGTATCCGGTCACCTCGAAGGAGTACGCAACCAGGGCTGCGAAGGACACCACCAGGGCGTTGCGAGCTGGGACAGAAGGAACACAGGGTGAGACCCCGCCAGTGCAGGGAAGCATGTCTGCCTCCAGGTAACTGGGGCGAGGCCCTCAGGGGCAGACCACAGCCAGCCGTGGTCTTCACAGCACCCTGCAAGGCCACACGGGTACAAGTGACTGCATGGCAGGCTCGAGCGCGTGGTTCTGTGGAGTGGCACGGCCATGGAGACAGCAGGAGGCTGTACATCACCCCCAGGAGACTGTGCGGATGGCACGCAGCTGCCAGGATGCTGGGAATTAGTCACTCGGATGGAGGAACAGACCAGACTCGGGCCCCTGCTGAAACGAACCTGGGCCGGCCTATGAATCAATGGCCTCAAGTCACTGGGTGCCAGGCTCGGCAAACACGGATCCCTGGAGACGGGAAGAAGGCGAGGGCTTCCTGGGGGTGGTGCACGGGGGCACCGAGCACAGCCTAAGCTTCTCCCTGACTGAGCAGGAACACTGGAGTCTGGCGAGGCTCTGGCAGCTGGAGTGGAAGGGAAGGCTCACAGGAGAGGAGAGGGCGGTATTGAGAGAGAGCTCCAGAGATCCACAGAGGACCTCAGGCACACAGCAGGGACCTGACCAAAGCACCACAAGAAACAATAAAGGATGTCTTTCGGGCAGAAGGAAAACAGCAGGAGAAAACCTGGCCTACACAAAGGAATGAAGAGCACCAGGAGAGAGTACGAGTGAGTAAACGGGGAGTAACATGTTTACAGATAGTTGGGGCCAGCAGGTGGCATGGTGGTTAAGGTGTTGGCCAACCACACATGGCCGAGAGCAGTGCAAGCCATGGACCTGGTGGCCTGAAAATCATGTCAGGCATATGTGCATCCACGCCCAAAATCCCAAGAGGAGAATGGAGAAGGGACTGCAGCCTGGCCATCCTCCCTGGGGGTGATTTCTTACTCTCCTTCTGTCTTTCTCCGGTGCGTGCAAACATCCTATGGCAAAAAACCTTCTTAAAAAAGTATTTAGAAATGAACAAAAACGAAAATAGAACATATTAAAATGGTGGGATGCAGCTAAAGCAGTGCTCAGAGGGAAATTTATAGCACTTGAACACTTATAATAGAAAACAAAGGTCTCCGGTCAAACGCCTTGGCTTTCATCTTAAAGATGTGTGGGTAAGAAAAGGAAAGTTACCTCAAAGCAAGCACAAAAGAGGAGATAATAAAGACCCAGAAGTCAAGAAACTAGGAAATGAAAGCTGTTAATCCCATGCTGCATTTTAAGTATTGAGGTTTT